GGGTTTGGGGCTTTGGGTTTGGGGGTTTAGGATTTATGGTTTAGGGTTTAGGGTTTTAGGGTTTAGGGTTTAGGGTTTGGGGGTTTAGGGTTTAGGGTTTAGGGAAGGCGAGCTGGCAACACAGGGACCCTTGTGGGGTTCCGGATCTTTCGGGCTTTGGTTTTTGGTTGAATACGGGGGGGGGCCTTGATAATGACCTATCTTATTGAAGTATGAAGTTCTGAACTACTAAACCCTCAACCCCGAAACCCAGAGAGCCCAATCTCGGAGGTTTCTTTGGGATTCAGATCTCACGGGGCCGCGGATGATGCTCGCTCATTCAACCGCCGCAGAGCATGGTGGCTGATGCTCTTCTCGCCGAGACCTGGGAAAACGGTAGCCGACGCCCGCGATGCGGGCTGGAAGTGGGACAAATCTGCGACATTGAGTGCAGGACCGTGCAGATGCTGCTCATGATGTTCGTTCATGCTGTCCGGAGCACGCATGATGCTCACCCTAAACCCTAAACCCAGTTGTGCCGTCCAGAAAAGAAGGGCAGCTCAGGCCCAGTGATGTTCGACCAAAGTGCCCAGTATCGTAGCAGGAGCGAGTGAAGCTGGTGTGAGTTTTTGTCGAGCGTTTGCAGCGGGTGCTCATGATCCCAGCCGTGGGCCGTATTGACTGATGTTTTTTTTACGTGTATATATATATATAATATATATATATATATATATTAATATGCATTATATATTTCTTTACATTTATTTATTTATTTATATGTATTGATGATGCTCCGCCGCGCGGTCCAGGACAGAGCAGCTCGTGATGCTCACCGACAGTTGCGGTTGACGCAGAGGAAGTGGGAGCAAGAAAGATGCAGCTGATGCTCATGATGTTCGCCCGTGCCGTCCAGAAACAGCAGCCCGGTGATGCTCGTGCATAGTGGGAGAGTCGCAAGGCAGCGTAGCTGATGTTCTTGATGCTGGCCGACACTAGCGGAGAAAGCTCGCCCATGCTGTGGTGGTTTAGAAGAGCTTCAGCCAGGTAGCACTGCAAAGATGCAACATCCCGAAAGCCAGACCCCACGAGGAAGTGCGTCTTTTGATCCTGAACCGATCCCCTGTTATTTACAATCATCGTGCAGAGCACGCAATCCTTGAACTCGTCATTGGTATTTTAAACAAGCCCTCTATTATATCCTTTTCAGGACCTGAGATATAGCCTGCATAGGCGCTGGTCGCCCGAAGCCGCTTCCTGGAGACAGTGCGACACCTGGCCCGCTTTGGGACGCACTTAGCCGCGGTTTCCTGAAGTTAGAGCGTGGATGTTATATTACAACTCCCACTGTCCAGTTAAGATCCATACTATGGTCCCTGAAATTGGGCGTGGATCCTTCTATTCCAGCTCCCCTAAACCAAAACCCTAAACCCTAAACCCTAAACCCCTAAACCCTAAACCCCTAAACCCTAACCCCTAAACCTGCCCAATTAAGATATATGCTCTCCTGGTCGCTCGTTTGTGGACTCCTCAATGAGAATGTGCCGGTAAAAGCTTAGGGTTTAGGGTTTATAAGTTTAGGAAAGCTTAGCTTGCAGGGCTGAGAGTTTCAGGCTTTTTCCAAGTAAGTATGCAAGTATACAGTTTAGGGTTTAGGGGTGTAGGGTCTAGGGTTTAGGGCATAAGTAAGTAAGCATTTTGAGGAGTTAATATGGTTGTTGACCCGCAGATGAAATAACGCAAGCTGTGTTCCCCATGCTGTCAAGGTTTACTATAGGGGCCTTAATAATTACCTATACTATTGTGGGAGGGGATTGTTTATTATAGTTATACAAAACCCTCTTCTAATTATTACGGCCCCTATGGTACCCTGTTGTGTGCTGACTACACAGCCTTGCCAGGGCCCTTGGAACGTCACAGCTTGAATGGGTTTAAGGGTTTAGGGTTTACGGGTTTCGGGTTTAGGGGTTTGGGGTTAGGGGTTGGGGGTTTAGGGTTTTGGGCACATGGGATTCAAGAGCTAGGACTCTTCGTGACGCAAGAGCCTCAGAGCCGAAACTGATGGTCAGAATGTAGGCATCCGTTGGTGACCGACACGCCAGAAGGAAAGGCCTTAGAGCCCGAACACCTAAGCCCTAAGGTCCCAAACCCAAACCCTAAACCACAAGTCCTACAGTCTCTAATCCCTAGAAACCCTGAACCCTAAACCCCTAAAGTCTGCACCCTAAGCCCCTAGAAACCCTGAGCCCTAAACCCTAAACCCTAAGCCCCTAGAAACCCTGAGCCCTACACCCTAAACCCTAAGCCCCTAGAAACCCTGAGCCCTAAACCCTAAACCCTAAGCCCCTAGAAACCCTGAGCCCTACAAGCCTTTCTAGGGATTGAGCCCGAAGCATCGATGTTTCAGCTCCGTGACCCGGGGCGTTTAGGGGTTTGGGGTGTCGGGTTTAGCGTTTTAGGGTATGGGGTTTAGCGTTTTGGGGTTTGGGGTTAAGTTTAGTGCTTTGGGGTATAGGGTTTCAGTTGTGTTTTTGGGGTATAGGGTTTAGAGTTGAGTGTTTTGGGGTATAGGGTTTAGGACCCAGGGTAAACCCTACTGCAAGGCCGAAAACTCTGAAGCGCGAATCTCGCCAACTCCAGGCGTTCGGCGCAGCATTCAGAAACCTCGTGAAAGAGTTCAAGGACACTTTCGGGCTTTAAGGTTCATAGGTCACTTTCGGGGGTCGCAACTTACATTTCACTCTACTTTTTTCCTATTAAACTCTACTTTTTCCCTATTAAACTCTACGATGATGTACCCCCCCCATAACCCTACTCTAACTAATTGAAGCACCTACAACGCTTGCAAGATCCAGGGACAAGCAAGAAAGCATGGTTATACAGGATACACATAAGTAAGCCTATCTGTGTCCGAGTCGTAGTCCTTATTCCTCATAGGCTCCCGGTATGTGCGGAGTGCATGAGCCAGGGTCTACAAAATCAAGCTTCGGAGAGTGTAGCTACAGGGCTCCTCAGAAATGTGGATCAGGCTTGCTCAGGGGCATGAACACTAATAAGCCATGCCATTTCTTAGAGTTCCCTCACATAACTATAGGTTAAACTCCCCAAAGCGTCAGCAGAAATATGTAAAACTTCCCCGAGCCCTAGTCTAGGTATTGGGCCCCTACACTCCCTAACCCCCCAGGTACCTACTATATAGGGCACTAGATCCCCTAGGGCCCTATATAGTAGGTACCGGGGGGTTAGGGATTGCTCAAGTGTTCCTTTTCAGTACACGATCAGTAGAAAGCCTATGCTGCCTACGTGTCCTCCGGCCCAAAGGGATCGGTGAAGCGCAACCTGTACAAAGAGCACTGAGGATTGTGGCGAGCATTACCTTTCCCTTGTGGTGCCTCACCTCAAAAAGGGAGCACACATGGATAAACCGTATGGACCGTTATAGAACCTTTTGAAACCTCGGAACCTCAAATCCTCCCAAAACTGTGGCAGGAGCATTTGGGCAGCT